CCTTTTATTTAATCAGGGTCTATATTAATATTGGAAATTAGCCTTATATCCTATTTGTCCTGTAGGTAATGGCTTATTATCTCAAATTAACCCAGGTTGTTTCTTCTGGAAGCAGTACTTCTGCAAAACATTAACAGGCAACACGTATAGTTTTACAAGGAAAATACAAAATGAAATTAACGAGAGTAAAAAGCATATTCAGTTTGTGTGATATCTATCTTGAATTTTAGCTAAGTTATACATTATGTACCCTGTTTGAGATCACAGTGATCTTTACAACAAAAATCAATCTTTTGAACACAATTTTAAATCAGCTGAAGTCTGGCTTCTTTTGGAACTATTCTAATATGCAATAAGGTGGGAGGCAGAGCCTTATCTCAGGTAGGGTGGGGTTCTTCACAAATCTTAGGTAAAGCGTTCTAGTACTGAAGCTAATCTTTGCCACTTTCTTTAATAAAGTTTACATATATTGTTTCCTGAGTCTATATGGATAACTAACACAATATAACATTACACGTAAGACATGAATCAAAGCAAAGCTCAGAGAGCCTTTAACTTTCCTTCTGTTGGAAAAAGTGGCAAAATACTTTCATGTCTCACAATATTAACTAACTTTTAAACAGATTAAGAAGATTGTTATCTTTTAGAAATACCTCCACATTTTTACCCCAGGGTAAAAGGTAACATAAGACTTAGGTTTGGTTATAGAACATTAAATGATATAAATAAGTTCCCAATAAAATTTGCTATTCTTATAAGCTTTAAGTTACCATTATAGGCAACTTTAATTTGGAAAACATCAGCTTGGTAAAAATGTTTTTTTAATCCTCCTGCTTTAAAAATTTGTATACCTGGAAGATATGAACACATTAATATGCTATACTGATGTTTTTATATTAAGCAAGTTTAGCTTTTAACATAAAATTTAGAATCTGTATTGTAGTGTAATACTCAAATATAATGATTGATGCTATGTAATACGTGTTATATAGACCTTAATTCCTTTAAGATTGGTTGCTTTAAAGAATAAAATTTATAGCTCTGGAAGCTAGGCAGGAGGATCAGGAGTTCAGAGCCAGCTCAGTAACTTAGCTTGTGACTCAGTGGTTAAGTGCCCCTGGGTTCAATCCGCAACCCCCCCCCCAAAAAAAAAAAAAAAAGGAAAATAAGATTCCACTATACACCGAGCAGCACTACAGTTGAATAATCTGCCTGACATTGCCAAGTTTTAATAAGAATGTGGAACAATAGTAATTCTGTACACTGCCATGGGAGTATAAATTAATATAGTGGTTTTTAGTAGTACCTATAAAAGATAAATATAGGTATACTCTATGCCTCAGCAATTCTGCTCCTATATATGCTTATGTAAATATAAAAAAGAACATTTACAAAAGTCTTCATATTAACTGTATTTATAGTCATCCCAAACTATAAACAACTCAATTGTCCAAAGAAATAAAATGAACAAGTATAAAAAAAGAATAAAATTTAATAGACACAATGTTAAGAGTAAGTTAATATTTTAAGAAATCCTTGTCAAGTTAATATGTATATTAAAACTTGGTTTTCTATCAGTACATTAGTATCTGACCTCAGGGAAAAATCCTTAAATAGATTTTTTTTTCCTAAATAGATTTAACTGATGGTTCCACATACATATATTCAACTTAGCTATACAAAAACTTGTTCAAATTTGCCCTTTACTTGCATAGATCTTCATGCTGTTTATTTCATCACACAAAGACTTTTACCCAGAAACATATTTCCTTCTACTAAATATATTTCCATACCTTCTGATTTCTCTTTCCTATCTGTTGATCCTTATTTTTGTTCACATTAAAAAATAACCCTTATGAAATTTCTGAATTTAGATAAATTACTCCATTTCCTTTTACTTTTAATAATTATTTTTTAGTTGTAGTTGGACACAATGCCTTTATTTTATTTATTCATTTTTATGCGATGCTGAGAATTGAACCCAGGGCCTCACACATGTGAGGCAAGCACTCAGCCACAACCCCAGCCCCCAAATTACTTCATTTTCACAAGAACACAGCTTCAACTTTTGGACACTTTGTACATAGAATCATGAAAACACAATGTTCAAGTATACCATCCCATTGAATTCAAGAAGTTAAAAGTGCTTGATGTTATATTTAACAGCATTTTAACTTTTTTTAATATTTATTTTTTAGTTGAAGTTGAGCACAATACCTTTTTGTCTTTTTCACTTTTTTATCTTTATGAGATTTTCTTTTTTTCAATTGATTTTATTTTTTAAATACATGACAGAGGAATGTATCACATTTTTTATTACACATATAGAACAATTTTTCATACCTCTGTTTGTATATAAAGTATGTTCACACCAATTCATGTCTTAATACATGTACTTTGGTTAATGATGTCTATCACATTCCACCATCCTTGTTAATTCCCTGCCCCCTCCATGTTCCTCCCACCCCTCCACCCTATCTAGAATTCATCTAATCCTCCCATGCTCCCCCTCCCTACCCCACTATGAGTCAGACTCCTTATATCAGAGAAAACATTCAGCATTTGTTTTTTTGGGGGGGGTGGATCGGCTAACTTCACTTAGCATTTTCTTCTCCAACGCCATCCATTTACCTGCAAATGCCATGATTTTATTCTCTTTTATTGCTGAGTAAAATTCCATTGTGTATATATGCCACATTTTTTTTTATCCATTCATCCACTGAAGGGCATCTAGGTTGGCTCCACAGTTTAGCTATTGTGAATTGTGTTGCTATCAATACCTTTATTTTATCTACTTATTTTTATGTGGTGCTGAGGATTGAACCCAGGGCCTTGCACATGCTAGGTGAGCATCTACCGATGAGCCACAACCCCAGCACCTAGCATTTTAACTTTGCAATTTAATCAGATGTGTCTAACGAACACATTTATGAAGATTAATGCCATATATGTCAAATATAATTAACTTATTAACTATAGAATCTAGGTATTAGACAAGTATATTGAACAGCATTTACCTCTTTAGTTAATTTAAAGACATCCTTCATTCTCATTTGTTTATCCAGTTCAAATTGAGTGTTTTAAATCACATGAATTAAAGGTACATGGATCCAGTTTTTTGAATTTTAACTTATGAGCACTCTATATGTTGGTTTTGATACACAAACATATGTAGACAAGACAATATAGAGAACAAACAAGCAAAGGTCTTATAGCTTTTAAAAAAACTATTAGA